GGTCCGAGCGCGCCCTGCACGTGGCGTCGCCGCTGTCACTTGTCACTCTGTTTTGGGAAGCGCTTGAGCATTCTGATGCCACGAGGGCTCTGAGTAGCTGCAATTGAGAAATACATTAGTTCTTACTAATTATACTATTTTTTTTTTGTCTGCAGAAATCTAGCTTTGTTCCCCTTTCAAAATTAATTTGACCTGCCCTTGGGGATGAAAATTCTCAGTGTCAATTGTAGCTTTTTTTCCTCTTGCTGGAAAAGAAAAAAAAAAGAAAAAGCACAATCTGCTGGCTAATGGCCCACTGAGGGAATTTCTACATGGGTTTTGCATTCATTTATAGCTCTTAAATATCATGCCAGGCCATGAGAAATGGAGCTTTAAGGTTGTAATGTTTCATGTATTTCAAAAAGAAGCCTCTCTAAGGTTGTGCTGATGTTTTGCCTATGTTCCTTTGAATCACGCTTCTGAGAAACCAGGAGCTGATGCGGTGCAGAGGCAATAGCAGACAAATCGTGTAAATGTAGATTGGATTTTTGTTTTAACATTTTGGTCTAAAATATCCTATAGAACAGCAGCACTTTCTGGTGATATAGGGCCTTCCCTTCCCTTTATGAGAAAACTGAGGTCTTGTTAAGGAGAGACCTGCAAGTGGCACTAAAGCCAAATGCTCCCAGACTGACTTCCTAGAGCCTGTTTGAATCCGAGGCTATTTGCTCCGTGCTGGGCACTATGTCTGTTCCAGCAAAGGCTCCTCTCCGTGCAGCTCGCAGGGCTCTGCAGCTTGTTGTGCTGAGCCGCGAGGCCGTGAGCGATGGGCTGCTGCCATCGCGTCGAGGGAGCGCAACTCAGAGCCAAGAGGTGTTTGGGAAGAGTAGCTCTGGGCAGCTGGCAGCGCCCAGCTGTGGTTACAGTTATATTAGATTTTATGCAATTATTAAATTAAGATGTGGTTGTTAGTTATAAGCTCTCTGTGTCTTAGCATAAAGATTGGCATCTCTCTTTGGTAGTTATAGTAACTCTTGCAGTGATGGTCAGGGCAGCTGTAAGACCGTCCTATACAGAGAGCAGAGCCAACCCAGGAAATACAGTTGAAACCAAATTAGTTGGCAGCAAGGACACTAGTAGAGCACCTAAGAAAGCAAAATGGGAAGTGTCTACTTTATGCTGGCTCATTTTAAGGGCAACTTAGAAAAAAAAAGATGAATACCCGTCAGAAAAGCTATAGGATGGAGCACTGAGTTTTGTAGCGATCACACAGACTTGGGCAAGAACATCATTGCACTTAGAGATTGTGCTTAATAGCCAAAATATGTGACTAATTCCCCTTCCTTCCGTGTGTTTCCCTTCTGTAGCCTCTGGGATGCTGACGAGGCTCAGCACAAGAAGGGACCTGTATTAGGTCTGAGCCAGCAAACAGTGTGGCACAGTGCTTCCCTACATAAAGGCCAGCTCGTGTTGATGCCCAAAAGGTCTATTTACTTCCCTGACTGTAAGAAAAAGCTGTAATTTCATTTCCAGTTCTGCTGCTATACCAGGACCTCCTTTTGAAGGAGGTTCCAGGGAGATCTTGTTTTGCCTTATTTGAGTCTGAGATACGTGATGGTGAGGTCTGGATCCTTTGTGACAACAGAGTTAATGCTGTTAGATCCTGCCCATGGCCCTTTAGTGGAATATTTCTGTTGTAGGCTTAGAAGCATGTGGTCCTTTATGTTTTTAATAGTGCCTGTGAGGTCCTCAAAGGATAGCAGTGTTTTTGTTCACCTCAATTCTTTTCTTCCTACTGAAGCTTCATAATGGCTTTTTTTACCCCCACCTCTGCAAAAAGAGGCATTAAGACACAGCAGTTCTCATTTGTGAACCACTCTCTGTCGTCCTAGGGAGGATGGATGTGTGTCCTAGGGAGGGTCAGTGCTATCTGTAGGGATCTCAGCCCACAGACAAAAAAAAAATATTGCAGCTTAAGGAGCCTTTAGGGAAGTAGCTTTAGGTGCCTACAAGCCTTCAATGATGTATTAAGGAGACTATGATTCTAGGAGCATTAATCAGACCCTAGATGTAGAGGGAATGATTCACAGAGAAACACTGTGTTCCCTCAGTCTGTCGCTGTGGGAAGGCATCGGTAAGGCGTGAGTGGGATTTGTGATATTTGTCAGTTCCAGTGCTTAGGGATTTCCTCTGCAGTTTCAGGGAGGGTTTTATTTCCCTGCAGAAGGAAGTGGCAGGGATCCCCTTGGAAGAAAATGCAGGGTCTCGCAGGTTGGAGGCGCAGGAGAGGAATTGCTGGTGCTGTCACTAGGCGCCAGCAGGGCCGCTTGCCTGGTTAGCTCAGTCACAGCGAGATCTGCCCTTGCGTCCTCAGGGACTGGTCGTTTTGTTTTGTTTTCGTGTTATTTCACAGCAACACGGGGCAGGTCCGTGCTGAATCTCAAGGAAAGAGCTGATGCTCGGGGGACCTGGGTTCTGTTCACAGCTTTGCTGCAAACACTCACCCAGGCTCCAAGGCAGATGTCTAAGCCAGGCCAGGTCTCCTGCTGCAGCCCTCGGTGGTCTCTGGTGGGGATTTTAAATCTTACCTAGTGCCTGAAATGGCTGGCCCTGTGCTGCGTGTGATTCTCAACCCCAGTTCCTTTTCCATTTCTTTCTTTGTTTTGGTTCTGTATCTTGATTTACTTGATTGGCTTCCAGCCTGGCATTAAGGAACCCAGGACCCAGCCCTGGCTCCTGCAGCATGGACACAAAGCACCTCGAGCAGATCCTCCTCCTGAGGGAGTGGGACCTGAGTTCTGCCTTGCCCGTCACCCCTGTGGCTACTTAGGTCGTTTGCCTAACGGGTGGATAATCTGAACTGGTTTGCTGCTTCCTGCCTGGTCATCGCACTACAGCTGGGTCCAAACCCAGAAGTTCTTGCTGATAAAAGAAGTGCTCCAGTTTGGAGAGAAAGAGGTGACAGGGATGAGAAGTTACCAAGTAGTGTGAAAAATAACTGTGGGATAGGAGGGAATGGGACAGAAGAGTTCTCTAGAACAAGGGGAGTGAGCCTAACATGAAGAATATGGGCTGTCAGACAATGGCCAAGTGAAGATGGTTTTAGTCACTTGTTATGTTTTTATGTTTATGTTTTTTATGTTGTTTATGTTTTTTGTTTTCTGGTCTAGGTCTGCTTCAGCTCCTACCCAAGATCCCACCAATGCTGGAGGTGCTGGGCTACCTTCTGCAGGGGCTGGATCGAGTCACAAACGGATGCAGCAGACACAAGCCCAGGTGGATGAGGTAAGGGGCTCCAGGTGATTTGCTGCTCACCATAAGGGTGCGGGTGTGATTTTTTTTCTTCTTTAAGATGCTTACCTCACTTAGTGATCCAGCAACTTCTGCTTGTCTGAAAGCAGCAGATCTAGGAAGTGAGATTTACTACAGGGTGGCATTTATTCAGAGGCAAGATAGTGCAACGGATATGCTGAGTACAAACAGCCTTGCATCAGTAACATTTTTGCAGAATAAATACTGGTGCTGATTCTGGAATTCATATTAGTCAGGTTAGGAGAAAATGTCATAGCGGGACCATCTTAGCAGCTCTTCCAAATAAAGTGTTCCTGCATTCCTAAAGGTCAGATGCTAATCTCACAGGCTGTTTCACAGGGACAGCCTCTCTCACAGGTAAGTGGAAGCCACAAGTGTTTTACAGATGAGGACTATGCTCCTTAGAGCTCTGCTGATTAATTATGGTTCTTACGTTCTGGTTAAGATGCACATGACCCCCACTGCTGCCACCTTGGCTCTGGTGCTGACATCCTTCCACTGCCATGTTGATGGGAACGAGTGGCCACACCACCACTCATGGCTGGAGTCTGACTACACAGGGGTGAAGGAGCTGTAAAGTCCTTGCACACCTCACACGTTACAGGATTTATGTGCAGGATATCAAGTGCAGAGCTTTGCTAAAGCCCTCTGCAAACACTTAAGTAACTAGTTGCTTACTGCACGTGAGGAGATGGCCAGGGCTTGTGCGATTCTTTACTGCCAGCTCAATAAATACACACTGGAACAGAGCCTTATGCTTCTTCCATAAAGGCGTATGGTTTCAGATGCCCTAGGTATGCTTTACAAACACAAAGGAAGATCTCAGAACATCCAGTTCAGGCTCCTTTCTTAAGATTAATTTCATTTAACTGTCAAATTGAGCTCCTTCGTTTTTTTGAGAATTTGTCTTGGCTGAAGTCAAAACAGGGTCTTCCTGGCCTTTCTTTTGCTGATTGTTGGAGCTGATCACAGGAGCTTCTGTGTGCAGAAATGTCTAGGCCCAGTTCTCTTATTATCACTCATTTTTATGTATCAGCATAACTTCCTTGACGTTAATGGCATTGCAGTGGGGTAAGCAGTATTACATTTCAGCTTCTCTCTTGGGTTAGAATAATGAAATAAACTTATGTTCTCAGCGCATTACATCATGAGGGTGCTGCAATTGCATGAGCTGGAGCCAAAGCAATTGCCCCTAGAAGGTTAAGAAGTTTGTATTTGAAAGGAGTGATGCAAGTCAGACGTATAGGGATCTTCAAGCAGATGAACGGGCGCCAGAGAGGCTGATGTGCCTCCCACTGAGGCTTAGGCTTGTGACCTTCAGAACAACCCACTCACTAGTTCTGCTGGTTGAAAACTCGAGCACAGGCAGGGTTGTCCTATTACAAAGTAGGATGGAGTAGTTATGGCAGGAACTCTTACTCGTCATGAGGGCATTTGAGGTTTGTGCAGGTGACAACCAGGGTCCACACTTTTCTCCACTCTTTTTTCATAGGTTGGTTTTCAGTGGGTTTCACGTGATTGGCAGGTCTGTGCTTAATATAGGAAAAGGCAGATCAATCGTTAACTCACAGTGCATACAGAGAGAGGGAAACACTATTGGGCTGTCAGTCCTCTGAAATCACTGAATGAGGCTGGTTTTTATCCAGGAGGGATTTTGGTCTGCTGTGTGCTGCTTTGACCTTACTACCAGATCCTTCCTGGCTTTGTTTGATGTCTTGTAGGAAAGGAATCTGTAGGTGGCACCAAACACCAGGGCACAGCACTTGGATGCTGTTCTGCAGCAAGGCAGCCAAGCCCAAAACTCAGCAATGTGATTTAGACTTAGCTTAAGAGCCGAGTTGTGGATTATTGAAATGGCTGTGAGCTCTCTCAAACCAGCCTTTCAGATATATCTGGCTTTTCCCTTTGAGCACTCCAGGCATCATGGAGCTCTTGGTCTTAGACCAGGCAAAAATGCATGTAGTAGACAAAAATGCAGTCTCATTGGGACAAAATGTTCACTGAACTAGGGTTAGTTTCAACAAATAGTTTTGGACAAAGGAAAAAGGAGAGAAGACATGGGAAATGTTATACTACTTTCTTTATCTTGATCTTGAGTTTTGGAACAGCATTTGGCCAATCCTTTCAGAGATATTTCATTACCAGTTTTACATTGCTGTATTCATATGATACATTTCTTATATTTCTGAGCTTTTGTACGTCATAGTTACCTTATATTAAATACAAATAACAAGAACTTCCTTATTTCTGAGTATAAGGACCATCAACCATATTCACAACTATACTGAGGTTGCTGTGTCATCTCACACCTACGGTAGTGATGGATTAGGATAGGGTTGCTGTTTAGGACCATTCATTTGCTAGAAGGGATTTTTCTTCCAGCTGTGTAGCATATATGCATTAGCCGCTTTGTCCTGCCCATGCACACTTTTTTTTTTTTTCAGATAGAATAGTTTGATAGAATTACTATCAAACTGTAGTAGAGGAGATGGTCTTCAACAGTTTTCTGTATCTGTACAATGAAGCACCAAGTTGTAGGCTAAATGAAATCAAAATTTTTAATGAAATTAATTAGAATATATTGTAGTGTCCCTTTTTTATCCCAATCTTTAAGGGCGTTTGACCGCAGTACAACTATGTTTATTTAGTGCTATATATGTTTAACTAGTTTATCTTGTTCTCATTGTGTGTTTCCAGACGTGTTTACTCAGGGAACGTCTGTGTAGTTGCCATCACATGATATTTGCCATAATGGCAACAAGCTGGTTGCAGTCTGATATGTTGCAGCATGTGAACATGTGCCAACCTTGGGCTTTGCCATGCAAGGATATCTGATGTGGGGCTCTGTCTTTGCAGGTGGTCGGCATCATAAGAATGAACGTGGACAAGGTACTAGAAAGAGACCAGAAGCTGTCGGAGCTCGACAACCGGGCAGATGCTTTGCAAGCAGGTGCCTCACAGTTTGAAACCAGTGCAGCCAAACTGAAGAGGAAATACTGGTGGAAAAACTGCAAGGTAAAGAATATAAAGATCTCCTCTTTATCTGTTCGTCTTGCTTCATGGCTTCGTTCACTTGCATTTAGAGAGATTGCTTGTAGCATGGGATCTTGAAGTCTTGCCCTCTAAGCTACTGGATAATAAGCCAAGCTCTCACCTTTACCAGAACCTATTCTTGGATTTGTACAGTATATAAAACCTCTGTACAATTTTTGATGCTTTACTCAGTGTCTGCATGTAGGGATGGAAGAACATAAGACTTGCCCTGTTGATTCATGTCGGCTCTCTGTCTGAAGCACAGAACCAGAACAAGTCTAATGAACACTAGCAGTGGCAGAAAAGAGACCTTGTCCCTCTGACAGATGATCAGCCTCTTGCCCTTTCACAAGGAGAGTAAGCTGCCAAAAAATATTTGGGTGCACAGTCACTGTGAGAAGTGAGGGAATGGGAGAGTCTTAGAGGAGAGGCAGATCAGGATAGAGCTGGTCTTTGACTAGTTCTCTCCCCGGCTGTCCTCAAAGCCTCATCATTTTCCCATGAGCAGAGGAAGCCCTGTTATCTCTTGCTTTTTCAGACCTCCTCCAGGATTTGTCTTTTCTTGGGCAGTGAAACTTCATCTTGTTGTCATATAAGAGACCTTGTCCTTCCTTCCTTCTATTCATGCACCACCAACACATGAACACTATGCTGAAAGTTCAGCTTTGTTGCCATTTCCCCCCAGTGCTGTCTCTGCTGCTTGACCCCTCGTGTCCACATAAGTGAGACCACCTCTTCCTGGGGGAGGAGGTTGCTCCATGCATTTCTCCCCTGCCTGTCACCTGCTTTGTCTCTTGAACCCACAGTGATATGAAATTGTAAAGCAAGGTACAATATCGTAGGTAGATTGTTTGCAAATACTCCCCAATGAAGTGGATCTAAGTTAGAGAATTAACTGAGTAATTTGAGTTTCTGCACCTTAGCTGATGGGCAAGAACTCCATAGCTTTGACAAGAGGCTACGTCCATTTGGTTTCTAAAACTGAATGTGGGAAACCGAATATGGGATCCCAAAAAGTCAATAGACAGTGAGTCTTTGTCAAAAGTAAAAGCAGAATGAATGGGCCACCAAATAAAAGCAAAAAAATAAATATATAAAGAGGTTAATGTCTGTCATGTGAAAACTGACTTTTTTTTTTTTTTAACTTTTTAACTTTCTTTTTATAGATGATGATCATTCTTGGTGTAGTATGCGCAGTCATTCTCATTATAATTATAAGTGAGTAATTTATTTTTCTCTTTCATTTATCATCTCAGTAGCTCTGTGATTTTCCAAGTGCTAATATAGGAAAAAGAAAACAAAGTTCAAAACGAGTCCTAAATGCTGCAATTGATTAATTTGAAAGCCTTCTTCTAGTGTCATGCTGTTAGAGTGAAAATTACTGCAAACTCCCTGGGTGCTTATATAGGTAGAATTTGTTGACATTTAATGTATTTTACATCAGTATGTTACATAACTCTTCCTGTATTAAAGATTCCATTTTTCTTGCTTATATATATTTTAATGCAGTCTGAAACATTCTCCTTTCACTTGGAATAAATTCAAAAAGCCAAGTGCTTCTCAGTGAGAACAGTAATCCTTGAATTGTCAGAAGAGAGTGAGGTCCCACATGCAAATAGCCATCTAATATATTTATTCAAAGTGCCTAGGTACCTAACTCTTACCAAATCAGCTGGAATTAGTGTTGTTGCCATTTCTGCAGATCCCTTTGCACCTTGAATAGGTAAATATCCTTAAAATCTTGCCCAGAGTCTTGTTGATTTCTTGCCTCTAGGGCTCATCTCATTCTACATGTTGGTACCAAGGTAGCCTATGAATGAATAATAGCAGTCATGCTGCTTGGGAGCCAGGGATCTCGTAATGACAGAAACCGACCGTGGCATTTATGTAACTTCTGTATGAGCAACAACTGTTATTATGTGACATAACTGCAATATGGCATTCACTCCTGAAAGAGAGGCTCCCCGAGCTGAGCAGTACAGCTAGTAACCCAGAAGAGATTCACCAGGAGGCTGGATTGCCCACCTGTGTTAATTCCCAGCTCTCGGATTACACGCTCATCTGCAGCGTGTTTCCATTTTCCTGTTACTTCTGTGAAGGAGGCTTACAGAACCACCTGTAAACACGACTTAATGGATTGAGATGCATGTGGGAGCTGATTAGTCTTATGAATGTTGGCACCAAACTGTCCCAGAATGATTCTAGGGTTTCATAACTCAGCTATGGCAAGAATGAGAAATGGTTAGATATTAATTAACTATATTAACTGGGTGCTCAAGGCTAGTAGCTTCAAGGGATAGACAAGCCTCTGCTCTGCAGTTCTAGTGTGGCAGCTTGGAAAGACAGGCATACAACCATGGAACTGGCTGCTTTGTACATATCCAGCATTGGGCATCGTGTGAATCCTAACAAGGAAATAAAAATCAGACAAGACAGCTCATAACTTCTCCCCAGAAGTTAACCCTTTGGTCCTCGACTGGTTTTATAAGCACAGTGGTAACTCTATAGTAATGTTTGTCTTTTTCTCCTCCTCTTACTTCCTTTTCCAGTTCATTTCTCCACCTGAGAAAGCGAAGAGGGAGGACGTGGCACAACTTTGTTCTCATCAACCAACAATATCAGTGTTCCTTTGTTGAACTCCGCTTTTTAATCCTGGTGTCTTGGGTTTTTTGCTTGTAATAACCCATAAGCAGTTGGTGTGATGTGGTTTGGAATTCTGTTGTTCCCATAAGAAAATGTACCAGCTAAATACTGCCAAGTAGTTCCATACACTGTCTTAGCACTGTGTCTTAAAATGTGTCTGCACTGACCTTCAGGAACTAGTGTATGAAAAGCACCGTAAACGTCT